ATATATATATATATAAGTTCGTGCGTTTAAATATATATATATATTCTAATTATTAGATCTTACAGTGAAGATCTTCTCGTATTCCCTTGGAAGACTAAGCAGTTTCGGCACATGCCACGATATATGTTGTTCCATTATCAGATTCCGAGCCGGTTGGTGACCACGCCAATTAGCGAGAAATGCGATCAACTGATCACACCAGAAGAGCGGCACTGACACGCCCGCTTCTGGTTCCTGCCAATTTAGCGCTACCGTGGAATCAAAGCTGTCCCAGCTCATGCCTTCCGTGACTAGCTCCAAATAATACACTAATCTCACAAACTCGCTCTGCTGTATTCTGATCAATGGCAGTGGCTGCTCGTACAGATGATAACGCAGTAGTGCGGCCACTCGTAGAAACGGCAAGCATAAGGACTGAATCTGAATAAACCGATCAAATAGTAAATGTAGAAGTAATGAAAATATACATCTGCATTGTTCCGTCAAAGAATCATACTGAAACACATTTTAGGTGTTTTTAATATAAAGAAGTTTTTTTTAGAAATAACCAATTTGTTGTTTACTAATATCGCTAAGTGATATAAATTATGTATCTTTTTGCAAGGTGTTATTATTATTTAAATTTATAAAAAAGCTGTATTCTATTTATAGAACATACTTGCTGCTCGATGCAGTGTGATTTCACTCTGGCATAAGTGGGAGATGTTGAAGTAGACGGTTTATCATCGTCCGTGCCAGGATAGAGTCCACTTTCGCTGAAATACTCAATAATCTCGGCCAGTATAGTCTCCGAGGGCGTAGTGGCGCAGCTGCATCTTTTCTTTAGGATCATGTTTCGCTCTTCTCGTGAGAAGTTACAACTTACTTGTAGTATTACTTGATAGTACAACAAATTGTAAAGGACTTTTACCACGCTAGAAAAGTATGCTGTGGGAAAAAAGAAATATTAATTCACTTGTTACTCACTTATATTCACATATATATTTTAAGTATGCCATAATCCTTACGCCTTAATCTATTTCGACATATAAAATATAAATGAAATCCTTAAAATGTGCGTACTTTGATCTAAATGTAACGGCAACAGCAGTATGAATTGAATGAGCATAGCGGTCGGGTCTCGTAGAAGCAAAGGAACCTGTCTCTCATGTGGTGTCAAAGCAAGCGAGGATGTTGATTCTTCCATCAGCGATATGCCAGACAGTTGTTGCCATACATGATGCACAGGCCACGTGGTCAGTACTCGAGCATGCATCGCCAAAACATGAAGAAGTGCAACTGAAAGAAAAACATTTTTCTAATTTTTACTCAAATTAATATCACCTATAAATATTAATTATTACATATTGGCCGAGGGTTGTGGTTATGCTTGGACATCTTAATCTCAATCGAAACATGAATATTATATAACATCATCGCTGAAGATGGCAAGAAACTTTTGCCGAAACGTCCGGAATTGTTCGTATAATTGTTCGAAATCAAATTAGTATTGTATGTATATTGTTAAACTATAATCAACTCATTGACTCTATCTGCCTGTATACCAATGTATATTACATGAATACATAGGTTTTTATATATTGATTTTTAAATTGTGAGAGTCAGTCTTGATATTGTATTAATATCTTTAGTTTTTAAATTTTAATTATTACATATTGCATATGGTAAATAAACAGAAGGCAGAAGAATTAAGCAGGATATTTGAAGTTAGGTTGATAAATCGATATCAAGAACATACCTATACAATCGCGTTTAGGCATCAGAGGTATTGTAGCAGGTGATGGAACGCACAACGAACCGCCGCGTTGTACGAGTTCAATCTCAAAATTAGTTCGAGCTACCGAAGTTACAAAAAGGAACAAGCTTTGGTGACTAGGTTTACAGTTCTTTTGCTTATACTTTAGATATGTGCAACTCGTCATATCTTCCATGGCTTTTCCCATTGCCACAGCTAAGTTCGAAGACACCTAGAAATGACAAATACATTCAGCACAAGTGATATATTCTTGATATGTCCTAATTAAAACATACAATGTTAACTAATGTTAGTTAATTTTAATTTTTTAATGCTAATATTAATGTTGCACGTAAAAACATAATGGACACACACAAAATATAAATAAAAAAATTGCTAAAACGAAAATATACGTTATCATATACGTACAGGATTTCGTTGTATCTCTTTGAGAAAGGTATTTAGATCCGCGAGTATAGTCGCTGTAGAAGCATGACGAGATCGTACCACCGCCGAGCATTCACCCAATTGCGGCGACAGTGGTAAAACGGAATTGGCTAATTGTCGGCACAGTGGACACAGGTATTCGCCCCGTTCCACCGCTAGACTTTGCTGCCGTTGTTGACTACGAAGGGACTCTAGATAAGATTTTAAACAGTCGAGGTGTAGATGATGACCACACGTTTGCACATGAACACCACCTTCCCACCCTAGATTAACCGAGAGCAGCCAAGACAACTGCAAAATAAAAACATGTAATATTATTTAATGTTAAGACAACGTATGCGTATTTTTTAATCTACTTATAAAGATATATTCTTGATACTACTTATCTACATACTTTATAAAAAATCTCTTACTAACCATTTAACATTGTTTTTACTTTGACCAAAAATAAATATAATAAAAGTACAATATTAAAATAAAAATAATTAATATTTCTAGCATGGCATTTTTCAAAACAATCCGGGATGTAACTGTAAGGCGGGGAGACTATTTTTGAAAGGATTTCCTGGAAGTCAGGTACACGAGGGCATCCGTGCCACTAGCAAGAAATGAAACTGGGAAGGCTAGGAATACTTAAAGGACCGTAATGGACTATCCATAGGATAGGTGACGATAGGCTAAAGAGAAGAGGCTTGAGAATCATTTTAATAAGAGAAAAGTCGCGGATACAAATGTCACGCGTCGTACAACGTCGAGAGTTGCAAACCGCCTCCTGGCGTTATCTGCACATACATAGTCGCATCGGTTACTGATGCGCACAAGTGAGAATAATCATTCAGGAGCTAGCAAGAAGACGCGGTTGTAATCCGGCCAATGAGATCCGACAAGAAATGCGCACGAATCTTACGAGAGAAAGTGTTGCCGTGTGAACGAAAACTAGACTTATTAACCGACAGCACTAGAATCCTTACATAATAATATTTAATAGTAAATATACATAAAATAAGCTTATTTTTTCTTGTTAGATGAGCAAATTTTGTTATAGTCATCATACATATTTATCTTTTTCTTTAGAATCAAGCATAGATTCATGTTTTTTGTGTCCGTTGAAAGTCTATTCAAGTTTTGGTGAAATTTTGATGTACAAATACTAGTACTGGAAGTTAAAATCAACTCAAATATCCAGTTCCAAATGGATCATTCAATAGAATCATCAAATGTTTCTAGAATTCCGCCGTGTTATTTGGAGAATATAGTAAAATAGAAAATATTCTTTGAAAAAAACATAGAAAATGTATATAGCATGCACGCACACACACACACACACACAC